ATAAAATAATTATTTAAATATTAAATTACTCGTGGTTGCGCTTATGAAACATACAGGAGGTACTATTCCTGTCGTACGCACCATCGTTATCAGTGATTGTAACGGTGGCAGTGTCTGATGCTCCAACAGAAACAACGGCACTTTGGTCTGTCCCACTGATTCTAGCCCCAAACGCTTCATCTCCCTCCAATAAGGTATCTTCCGTTCCGCTCACTGCCACACAATGAGAACCATCAGTCGGAAGCGTTGTTCCGGCAGGAATGGTGACAGAGGAACCCAGAGAAAAGTCACCAGCTCCTGCGTGCACACAGTACCAGGTTTAATATACAAGCAATACATATCCATATATACAAGTAAATTAAAAATCCTGGGGATTAGCATAAAAAGAAAGGGAGACAAGATAGGGATGGGACACATGAAGCATGGTTAATGAACACATTTCAGCAAGCTGACACCCCCAACCCCATCACACAATCCCTATATTGTTGCCTGGTGTGCTACTCTTAGAGGGGCTAAAGGTTACACATTCTTTCACCGTGTCCCTGTTGTTTTTAGTATTTTATACTGCCACATTCCCTTTAATTAAGACTCTATAAGGGTGTTGGTTACTCAGTAGCATGAGTTTTTGTATGGTGAATGTTTAATACTCCACCTACGCAACAATATAGGGATTATGTGATTGTGTGGGGGTGTCAGCATGCTCAAACGTGTTCATTAACCATGCTTCATGTGTTCCATCCCTATCTTGTCTCTCTTTCTTTTTATACCATCCCTATATGTTTCCTTTTTTTAATCCGCAGACTTGTCTCCACTCATTTTTATATACTACTACGTATTATCTCTGTGAAAGGAGGCAAACCCCCTATAACAATTAATAATAGAGAAAAGTGCCTGTTGTCGTCATTGAAATGATGTAATACGTACGCATACCAAGTTTCATCTCCATGTGGGTCTGCCGTTAGCAAGTTTGAGGCGTGAAGAAGTAAATGACTGAGGCTATTTGTTGTTGTTCAAATAATATGTGGTTGTCATGGAAACAATGTCATACGCGTTCTTACCAAGTTTCATCTCCATGAGTGGTACCATTAGCAAGTTTGAGGAGTGAAGAGTGCCTGAAGCTATTTGATGTTGTTCAAACAAAGTGGTTGTCATGGAAATGATGTTACAAGCATGTGTACTAAGTTTCATCTCCATGCGTGGTACCTTTAGCGAGTTTGAGGAGTGAAGAAGTGCATGTATACCAACTTTCATATCCATGCGTGCTACCGTTAGCAAGTTTGAGGAGAAGGGCCTCAAACTATTTGAACAACATATAGTCGCCATAGAAACATGTAGTTGTCATGGAAATGATGTAATACGCATGTGTACCAATTTCTTCTGCATGCGTGCTACCTTTAGAAGTGAAGAAGTAATTTTTAAGGAAATTGCCTGTGTACCAAGTTTCATCTCCATGTGTGGTACCTTTAGCGAGTTTGAGGAGTGAAGAAGTAAAGAAAAGTGCCTGGCGCTATTTTTTGTTGTGGTCGTCATGGAAATGATGCCTAGCTAAGAAATGATACATAGCTATGTATGTGCACCAAGTTTCACCTCCATGCGTGCTACAATTAGCAAGTTTGAGGAGTGAAGAAGTGGTTTTAAAGAAAATTGCCTGAGGCTTTTTCAAACAAAATGCGGTCGTCATGGAAATGATATAATAGGCATACTTACCAAGTTTCATCTCTATGTGTGCTACCATTGGAGAGTTTGAGGAGTGAAGAAGTAAATTTAAAGTAAAGTGCCTGAGGCTATTTGTTGTTGTTTACAAACATGTATTGTTGTAATTTTGATGTTGGTGATTAAATACATTATGTCTACAAAGTTTCGTTCACATAGCTTTTACCATTTGTGAGTTATACTGACATATGTGATCTCATTATAATGTATTGCCTGGGGCTATTAGTTTTTGTTTACAGTAAACAATGTTGTTTACAAACAAATAAGTATGACTAGTCTCTTTGGGTGATGGATATCTACATTCTTACAAAATGTCATTACTTTATGTTGTTTCGTTTTTGAGTTATGGGTGTTAAATCTGAAGAAGAAGAAGAAGAAGGAGAAGGAGAAGAAGAAGATGAACAAAACTCCCTATCATAGCCCCATACATCTATGATGCTAGGTATATACCATGCCAATCCCTATATACTAAGTACTATCTGGTGATATAGATAGAGAAAAAATAAAAATCACCACCAATATTAATCCACAAATCCCAAAATATCCATAAAAAAACACATACACAAATACACATGACATGACATGAGAGCAGGACACTGGCCTTGAGAACTGGGGCGGTGGGTTAAAGAGTCTTTTATGGCTAGCCAACTCTCCCCACACACCCAGCATCCAAACTCCACATCACAAACAGGCGCTCGGGAACTAAACGGGATCTCCTCTCCCTCGTCGGCAGGCTAAACCACGCGGCTCGGGTCGTGAGGCCAGGCAGACCATTCCTGCGTAGCCTAATCAATGCGGCATCGTCAGTCAAGTCACTGGACCATAGAGTACACCTGAACAGTGCCTCGAGACAGGACCTAGCTTGGTGGCATGCCTTTCTCAGAACGTAGAACGGGGTCCGTGTGCTCCCGCCCCAATCATCCACCCACCAGCTCATATCAGACGGGTCTGGCCACTGGGGCTGTGGGGCGATCTTCAACAACCTCTGGATACAATGGCCCTGGCCTGAACAGTGGGCCACCACCACCATCGCGCCTAAGGAACTGGCCCCAATCGTGATGGCTATAGCTCTATGGGGACCCCAGCTGGCCCACTCCAAGGTGTGCTCACTCTGCGACAACATGGCTGTGGTCTACACAATCAATAAAAAAATCAGCCAGAGACCCCAAGCTCTCCAGGCTCATGCGCTTGCTATGCCTGCTCTGTGCCATTTTCGACATCACACTAGTTGCTAAGCACACACCCGGGGCCCAAAATACGTCAGCAGATGCTCTCTCCAGGGATCAACTATCTCCCTTTCTTTCCATCAACCCACAGGCAACTCCGGTCCCAGCGATCATCCCGAAGGCACTCCAGGAACTAGTGTTCAACGAACAGATTGTGAGCACCTCCAAGTCCTGGATAGAGCTGTTGACGGCTACCTTAGAAGCGGCATCGCGCCAACCACGGGCTCAGCCTACGCTTCAGCCCTCAGGAGGTACTCAGGATTCTGCCAGGAGTTCGGCCTAGGCCCTCTATTCCCACTTACAGAAAACTTACTGTGTCGCTTCTCTGCCTCCTGGCCCAGCAGGACCTGAAGCAACGCACGATCAAAAGTTACCTTTCCCGACTCCGCTTTATGCAGATAAGAGAGGGGTTGGGCAACCCAGGACTCCCCAACATGCCACAACTGGAGTATGTTCTCAATGGCATCAAGCGCAAGCAGGCCCACGCAGGTTCTAAACCAAAACCGCGCCTACCAATTACCCGGGGAGCTCCTTCAACAGCTACAGGCCGTATGGCTCTCCTCACCCCATAACCCAGACGACACAATGCTATGGGCGGCTGCGTGTACGGGTTTTTTCGGGTTTCTGCATGCAGGGGAGTTCACAGTCCCGTCAGCCGCCAACTATTACCAAGAGGTACACCTGAATCTGGCCGACGTAGCCATCGACAGCTATGAATTCCCAACGATGGTCCGCCTGCTCATCAAACAGAGCAAAACGGACCCCTTCCGCCAAGGGGTGGAAATATTTTTGGGAGCAACCAAATCTGACATCTGCCCTGTCATAGCTCTGCTGCAGTACCTGGCCATCCGTTCCCCAGACCCTGGTCCGCTGTTCATTTTTAGCAACGGATCCCCCCTGACCCGGTCAGCTCTAGTATCTGCCCTCCATTCTGCACTGCAACGGATAGGAATCGACCACACACAGTATAATGGCCATAGTTTCCGCATTGGGGCAGCGACGACTGCCGCCCAGCACGGCCTAGAGGACTCCCTCATTCAGACGTTGGGTCGCTGGAAAAGCTCCGCGTACAAGATCTACATCAAGATCCCCAGCCTTCAGCTCGCCGCGGTCTCTCAAACCCTAGCTCAACACTCTAGCCACTGATAGGTTGTCTAGTCTTTACTGCTCTCTTCTGTTTTTTCATATAGATAATTTCGTTAGGAAGATTAATGAGGTCACAAGGGTCTTTTTTCTCTCCACTATCAGAGGCATGGGACAGGCTGTTCCAGCTTATGGGCAAAGGTCTCCCTGCGGGCTTATGGTCCCATGCCTATTAAGCGATATCAATCCTAATGACCCCTCTTAATGCAAGGGGGCCAACAGGGGTTGAGGTCTAGGCAGCTATATGGAACCCTAGCTCTATACGCCTAACCCTTGTGCGATACGACCAAACCAACCACCCCTATCACGGCGATGGGGGAACAATAAAAGAGAGAGAGACCATGCTGTATGTTCCCCTTGGGGTCCAATGAAGAGCCAAAGTTAGTTAAGTATGATACATATATATTATAGATGGTAGAAAAATGAAATTGGTAGCATGGTAGAAAAATAGAATCTAGCTTACTTACTGGAGTGGTAAAAACAAGGCAGAATGACTCACTTGTCGAAGTAAAATCATGGTATAAAAAATGTGGAATGACTTACTTACGCAGTAAAAACGTGGTGCACGATCGTGGTTCCTATTAGTGCCACCCCACGTAGTGTAGTCAACGTGAAGCTTATGCCTGACAACTGTTTGTGTACAAAACATCTAGCTACCAATCCCACAGGATCTTCTACGTGTTGAGACATGGCGGCCCAGGAATCCATCACTGGCTGGCAAACATACACCGTCCTCAATATGTCTACGTACACTGCGGTTGTACATAGCTCTGCATATCCTTAATTGGCGAGCGGGAGCGAGCCAACCTAGTAGGGGTCTGCACATTATTCTTTTTTTCTTCCCAATTATTCTATTCCCGGATTCTATTTTTTCTCCAAATTATTCCTCACGAAACTGCCTATTATTCTCAATAAATCTGCACAGGTCTGAAACCGTTGGCCATCGAAGTCGGGCTATTAGATGAACGTTTGGAGTCACTAGAAGTAGAAGACGTGGAAGTAGACGCAATGGCACTCTCTGATGATCGCAATCCGCTTGACTGACTCAAATTTTATACTGTCTGTGCGTGCGAACTGCTTAGACATCGTGCGGCTCGCGCCTTGCACGTACATGGCTCCGCCCATTTCTGCAGTAATTTCGGCCTTTGACTCCACTATATGTAGTAACTGATCCTGAGCATGCGCATTAACACTTCACTCATTCATTCTTACAGT